CGTGTTTGCGTCAGTCCCGTGGTCGTCCACAACACTTTGGAGGCTCGTATGATGCTCCCCATATGGTACGTTGGCGGCATCATACACGACAGGCATGAGGAGGATGAGTTGGCGTCGTATCAGAAGTCCACAATGCAGCGTCTCGTCGGAGCTTTCAGTAATGCTGTTGACTTGGGGGAGGGGTAGACGGCGGTCGGATTTCGTACGAGAGGTTGAGGAACGACGAGGACTGCATGCGCCTTTTGCTGTCTGCTGCCATGTGGATAATGTGGATGGCAGGTGATAATCCACGCTCACACTACGAGGCCTCCCATCTGATGGAGCTAGTCGCGAAACCCACGCTCATTGCGTCGCTTCATCGCTCGTTCGACGCGCGGTGCCATGTTCTGCAGTGCGTGAACGCCGTGACAGAGAAAATGGGAAAGCCCCCAATGACGTTGGTGGACTCTCCGCTGTACATCCCCGACTCGGTTTCGTGCGGGGTGTCTTTCAACAACGACGCGACGTTGGCGTCTCCTGATCTCGCCAGGAGACTGGATTGGATGGGTACCGGACCACCCGAGATCGACGACGAAGAGGAGGAGAAGGCAGACGAGGGGGAGGCGTGAACGATGGTCGCGGACTGCATGCGATGACGACGATGATGCAGATGATGATGATGATGATGGCGACGATGATGACGATGGCGACGATGATGCAGATGATGATGATGATGATGGCGACGATGATGACGATGGCGACGATGATGACGAAGGCGGCAACGATGGAGTCGACGATGCTGATGATCAAGACGGCGGCCACGATGATGATGATGATGACAACGACGACGACGACGACGACGATGATGACGATGATGATGATGATGAAGACTACGACGATGATGATGATGATGATGATGATGATGATGATGATCAAGACGACGACGACGATGATGACGATGACGATGATGATGATGAAGACGATGATGATGTGGATATAGACGACGACAAGGACGACGACGATGATGATGATGATGATGATGATGACGATGATGATGATGATGATGATGATGATGATGATGATGATGATGATGATGATGACGATGATGATGATGATGATGCCGATGATGATGATGATGATGATGATGATGATGATGATGATGATGATGATGATGATGATGGCGCAGACGGCTGTGTACGGTGGTCATCTCTGATCGTCGGTGCTCATACATGTCGTCAACAGATCCCGTGGGCTTTCCGCAACCCATTGCAGTGCAGCTTTTTTAGTGGGCCACCGTTTTTGGCACGCCGCTGGTGCGGTGTCGAAAATTACTTATTTGTTTATGAACAGTGTCGTGTGCTTTATAATTTGGAAACGTGTTGTTCTTCTTTTCGTCTCTTCAGCCCGGTTCGATACGTGGTCGTCTTTTGTGTTGGCATGCTTCCCAAACGCAAACCAATCGATCCTTCCCGTCCTCTGTATATTGCACATGTTTTTGTTTTGTTATTTTATTTGGAGGTTTTTTTTTTTTTTTTTACTTCACTTGTTTTCGGAATTGCATGTGACCATTGTGCGATGACCATTGATCATTGTCGTTTGCATATCGTTTGTTTTTATCACAACGCGCACTCATCCACCAAACACTGGCAACCCTAGGACGAAGACGCAGACGAATGAAGGCAGACACAAAACTGTTTTCCTGCGTCTTTACGACTTTCTTTTGTCTACATCAACACATGTAAACACCATTTGATTGCGCTCGCAGACTTCTTTTTTCACACGTCAGCATGCCATCCATGCAGCAGGGAGTGTGTAGGAGAGGAAGGAAAATAGTCGCCAACAAGCAATAACACTTTGCGATCACAACCCAACAATCACCAAACCCTTGCGAAATAAAAAAACACACTGCCGACATGATTGTTTTCCGTAGAACGTCCTAAACGAGCCCCAAGGCATGCACACGACTGCCGCTCGCGACAGACAACAACTCCATCTCAATGCCGTCAACTAATCACACTAACCGGCCACCGCCGCCGCTTCCGCCGCCCAACGACTCGCCCACACTAACAGGGAACGCCCCACTATCAACGCACCAGCCCGAAGCCGCGGATCAAAACACAAAAAGGAAAAACTTCCGAGAAACTCAAAATCGGACGGCATGGCACATGTACTGCGCCCGTCGTCTCTTCGCACACTGCTTCCTCCCACCACCGYCGTCAAACGTTCCTCCATCGACGCGGCCYGCAGCTCCYGCCGCCACGCGGCGTCCTCTGYCGTCATCGCCGCACCATTCGCTCCGCCAGCGCCTGGCGCAGCATGATCGCCTCCCCCGTAGAAATTTCCATGCACAACGGCGAGGGGGGCCGATGGATCCCGAGATCCACCCGACGACGAACTCCATTGGCGTCAACCTCCCACAGCAAGTTCTCGTCGAAAGGGATGCCGGCGTCGATCAGGATGTTGTGCAAGATGCAGACGACCACAAACTGTTGGGGCAAGGTCTCCATGTTGGTCTTGTGTGAGCCTAGGAACAAGCGCCACATTCCTTTCAGTCTCCCGAATGCCCT